CACTGATAGACATATACAGACATCAGGTGCTGTTGTGGTAAAAATGTTAACAGGTAGAATCTGTTGAAGATTCTTTACATTATTTGTTATACTTTGTAAAATAATGATGAAATAGTAACATAGTTAATCTTTCTAGTGTTTTGTTTTAGAGATAAACACCCTTGTATATGATTTAGATATATAAGAATAATTTGAAGCAGCAAAATATTTATTGCCTTTCTTTTATAATAATACATATCAGAATCTGTTGTAACTATAACTGGTTGAAGTGGGGTTATGTTACAGTCAGAATATGAATTTAATAATCATATGTTTGATGTATTGATTAAACAATCAATAGATGTGGCAGGATTATTACCACAAGGTAAATGTACCTTTAATCATCACAAACCAAATAACATTTTCTTGGTATTTGAAAAACAGATAAATAAATGATTTGAGCACACGTATTTTAACCCCTTCGCGACCGCTGACGGTTCAGGACAGTCATTGGGAAAATCCCCTTGAGGACCGGTGACGGCAATTGCAATTTGAGGGATCTGCCTGACAACCCAGGCCTAATTTAATTTACTAGCACTGTATTTAACCCTGTAACGTTCTAAGACACCCTAAAACCTGTACATGAGGGGTATTGTTTTACTCGGGAGACTTCTCTGAACACAAATATTAGTGATTCAAAACAGTAAAACATATCACAGCGATGATATTGTCAGTGAAAGTGACTTTTTTTTGCTTTTTTTCACACACAAAAACGTGCTGTTTGTGTGTGGAAAAAAAGCAAAAAAAGTCACCGATGATATAATTGTTTTTATACGCTTTACTGTTTTGAAACACTAATATTTGTGTTCAACAAAGTCTCCCGAGTATAACAGTAGCCCCCATGTACAGGTTTTATAGCATTTTTTGAAAGTTACAGGGTCAAATATTTTTACATTGAAAATTGCCAGGTTGGTTATGTTGCCTTTGAGAGCATATGGTAGCCCAGGAATAAGAATTACCCCCATGATGGCATACAATTTGCAAAAGAAGACAATCTAAGGTATTGCAAATGGTGTATGTCCAGTCTTTCTTAGTAGCCACTTAGTCACAAACACTGGCCAAAATTAGCATTCAATTTAGGTTTTTACTTTTTTTCACACACAAACAAATATAAAAGTTAACTTTGGCCAGTGTTTGTGACTAAGTGGCTACTAAAAAAGACTGGACATACCCCATATTGAATACCCTGGGTTGTCTACTTTAAAAAAAATATGTACATGTGGGGTGTGATTCAGAGATTTATGATGACAGATAACAGTGTTACAATGTTACTATTGATACATTTTAAAAATATATATT